CTCCCTCCACCTGCACCCCTTCCTCCTCCTCCTCTTCTTTCTCTCCCTCCCTGGAGCAATATGCCTTGCCCCCTGCCTCTAGCTCAAGTCTGCCAAATAAGAGAAAATGGAAAAGTGAATCAGACAAGGTCTGAAAGATCAAGCGCGAGCTGAGCCATGGTGGCACGTGTCTGGGAGAGGCAGCTGTGACAGCAGGAGCACGGCCGTGCCACCTTCAGGTGGAAGCTCTGAGTGTCTGACAAAGGTTTGCACCTCGGGGAGTCTGGATGCTCTGGGCACTGGACACGCACAGGTTGTGTCAGGGATTCTGCCACCAAGAGCCTGGAGGAGGAAGTCACGCCCTCCCCGGTGACCCTGCCGGGCAGATGGCAGAGAACCGAGACCGCAGGCAGCACCCCCGGGCCACGCCCCAGCTTCCCCAGCGTGGCCAGAACCATCCCAGCAACCTGTTTGCGCACCTCTTGAATTCCCAGGCACTTTCAGGACGGGGGACTTGGGGCGGACCCGAGCGGACAGCCGTCTTCTCTTGGAGAAGCGGCTCCTGCCTGTCTATTTTGGTCGCTGTCAACACTCGCCAGGGAAACAAGGCGTGTGGGCATGCGCCGGCCTGCAGGCCCCGGGCTGCTGCCTAAGGCAACGGGAAAGTCACATGTCATGACAGTGGAAAGTACATACGCAACTATTCTTAGCCCTGGAATGTATACACTGTCTCCCTGCCCAGCAGGCCTTGCCCCGAACTCTAGAAAACTGTGAAAGCGCCTCAGATAAACAAAGCCAGAGCTCTCCCAGGACCAGCCGCCACTCGCCAACCCAGGGGAGGCCTGGGGTCTGCGGTTTCCCTCAGAGCGAGAGGCGGAAGCCCTGTGAGGGCCAAACCCGGTCAGGCACTGGGGAGGTCACCACCACACGACCAGGCAAGTATCCCTCATGCCGAATCCTGCAGGTGGACGCCCAGGTGTCACCCAATAAACCAGGGGACTGCTTGGTCTCTCTTTCCAGTTCATCTTTGCAGCAGAACCGAAAGGCCCCAAGAAGTCATGCTATAATTGTCCACAGCTCACGTGAAGGTCTGTTTTCCTCCCTCGTCCCTGCCTGGCTCCTGGAGGTCCACGGCCCCAGAACGTCCCCATGGGGAATGACCGGCACCCGGACAGAGGTGTTCGGAGACTTTCCTAACTAACAGATACGCCAAGAATCTGGAAGAAGGCTCCCACCCATCCATCTGCTGCTCGGGAGAACGTTTCTACCTGGACGATAGAGGACCTTCCGACAATCTGGCTTTCCACTCCCTCACATTAGCTGAAGATGCTGCTGGCCTGTTTCCCTTGAGCAGACGCACAACCAAAAGGCTGCCACTCCGCCCCAAGTTCTGGGGCGAGCGTGGCCTTCCCCGAGCGGCATCCCTGGCCGCGCCCACCGGCATCTCGGTGAGTGACTGTGGGCACGCCGCTGGGCCTCGAAGGTCCGCACAGGTGCCTCCCGCACACGCTGCCAAGGAGGGCTTGACCCGCACCCGGGGCCGCCTGCCCTCCGCAGGATGGTTGAGGAGACGCCGGACGGGCTGCTCTTCGAAGACCATGATTTCTCCTCCGACCTGCTGAGGCAGCTGGACGGCCTGAGACACCGCAGGATCCTGACAGACGTGCACATCTGTGCCGGGGCCCGGGAGGTCCCCTGCCACCGCTCCGTGCTGGCCGCCAGCAGCCCCTACTTCAGGGCCATGTTCTGTGGCAGCTTCCGGGAGAAGGGTCAGGCCAAGGTGCGGCTGCAGGGCCTCGACCCCCCGAGCCTGGAGCAGGTGGTCTCCTACGTGTACACGGGGCAGGTGCACGTCACGGCCCAGAATGCCCTCCCCTTGCTGGAGGCCGCCTCCATGCTGCAGTTCCCCAAGCTGGCGGAGGCCTGCAGCACGTACCTGCAGGGCCAGCTGGCCCCCAGCAACTGCCTGGGCCTGGCCAGGCTCGCAGAAGTCTTTGGCTGCGAGAGCCTGCGGAGGAGAGCCAGGGAGGTGGCCCTGACGCGCTTCCCGGAGGTGGCCGCGTCGGCAGACCTGAAGGATCTCTGCGCCTGGGAGCTGCGAGACTACCTCGGGGACGACGGGCTGTGCGGCGAAGAGGAGAGGGTGTTCGAGGCCCTCATGGCGTGGGTCAAGCACGACCCCCGGGCCCGGACGCGGCACTTGCAGGACCTGCTGGGGCAGGTCCGGCTGCTGTACGTCCACCCGGCCTTCTTCCACCACGCCATCGCCAGCGACGCCCTCCTGCAGGCTTCGCCCGCGTGCCGGGCCGTCCTGGAGGCCGCCCAGAGGCACATGTCCTCGGCGTGCTGGGCCCTGCCGTGGGTCGCTCCCAGGAGCTCCTACCGGGACTTCCTCCTCCTCCTGGGGGGGAGGAAGGAGAGCCAGCAGACCACCAGGGACGTCCTGCTGCTCGACCGGCAGGCTGGCCAGTGGCGGGAACTGGCCAAGCTCCCCGCCCGGCTGTACAAGGCCTCCGCCGTGGCCCTGCACCGCAGCGTCTACGTGCTGGGGGGCATGGCCGTCAGCACTGGGCGGGGCCTGGTCAGCCCCAGCGTCTACGTCTACTCCCTCAAGCTCAACCAGTGGCAGCTGGGGGAGCCCATGCGGGAGGCCCGCTACTCCCACGGGAGCACGGCCCACGGGAATTTCATCTTCTCCCTGGGCGGCCTTGGGGAGGGGCGCGAGCTCCTGGGCTCCATGGAGCGGTACGACAGCAGCTGCAACGCCTGGGAGGCCATGGCCAGCATGCCTGTGGGGGTGCTGCACCCGGCCGTTGCCACCAAGGACCAGAGGCTCTACCTCTTCGGGGGCGAGGACGTCATGCAGAATCCCGTGCGCCTCATCCAGGTGAGTGGCTGAGTTTACCAGAAGGCACGAAAAGGGGTGTGCGTGCAGGCACACACACGAACGTGCTTGCACATGCATGAACACGCATGCATACACATGTGTGTGCATGCGTGAATGTGCACGTGCACACATGAATACATACGCACATGTAAGTGCACATGCCTGCACATGCATGAAACACTTGCACACATGCACAGACTTATTGCACATGCACAAGTGTGCATGCACATGTGCACACAAACACATGAACACATGTACACATACACATGTGACTGCACAAACACGTGTGAACATGCATGCACACAGTTGTGTGCATGTGTGTGCATGAATGTGCACAGGCATATATGAGCTGTGTGCGCATACACATGAACAAGAATGTATGCACATATATATACATACACAGCACACAAATCACATGTGCATACACATGCACACATATACACACCACACCTATATACACATGTATGAATACATAAGCACACCAACATACATGCACACCAGCACACACATGTGTATACACATGCATGTGTGTACGTGTATACATATATGCACACACGTACACATACATGCACACATTCTAGCACGTCATGTATGAGGAAAGGAGGTAGGAAGGGAGAGAGGAAGGGAGGGAAGAAGATGAATAGTTTTTGACAAGAGTTTTTTAATCACGGGTTCTCTTTGTGCAAGACCAAGCGGCCAGGGGTCTGCCAATGCAATCCCTAAAATACGTCGGAACGTTCCAGCTAGAACAGGCTGGACCCACAGGCCCTCGAGGAGGATACCAGAGCCTCGGTCCACACCGCCTCCGACTCCCCGGGGCCAGACCTCCGATCTGCCCAACCAAAAGCCCTCTGTGGGGGACCCTACAGTGTGTGGCTCACAGATGTCCCCAGAGATCCCCGGGTGCAGCCAGGCCGGGAGCCCCTGCCACAATGACAGGAGGGAGTCATCTCACTGACAGGCTCCCTGGGAAGTACGATCAGTGAAGCTGTGTTTCGGAAGACGGTTTTCCAGCCTGACCGGGCGTCCAGCCATCTCTGCAGCTCACCTGAAGGTGTGAGAACGGGGCAACGAGCGTGTCTTCCCACAACCCCAAGCCCCGCGAGATGAGCTGTGCCTCTGTGAGTTGTGTTTGGCAGCACCAAGGGCGCCCCAAGGCCCAGACGCTGGCTAGACGGAACGCTCTGAGAGCCCTGGGTCCCACACAGTCTAGAGAGAACCCCCGGGGGCGTTTGGGCACGGGGGGCCTCACAGGGAACACATGAGGTTGTGAAGCTGACTCAGCAGGAGCCGGAGAGGGGGGATGGCAGGTGAGGCCGAGACAGCCGGCCTACGGAGGATGGTGGGCACCAGGGAACGTCCAGGGAAGACCTGACGTGCGCAAGCCTCCCTAACCCCCGGGCAAGAGTTCTGTCCTGGGTGGATTCCTGGGTCCAGGAACAGTGGGGACCAAGGGACCCAGCCCACCACCTGAAGGCCAGAAAGAGGGATGATGGCGCGGTGACAGAGCCAGGAGGAGGGTGGTCGCGCGGGGTGGGGCTCTCAGTCTTCGAGTCACCATCGGCCTTCCCAGGCCGTCCAGTCAACCCCACCCCCCAGGCAGCTGCCCCCAGCCCCTCCCGGAAAAGTTCTAGAGCTTGCTTGAGAGGGGGGCATTTGTGGGGCTGAAGCTGGCCTGGCAGGGCTCAGCCTGGGGCAGCGGGGCTTCACGGAAGGGCTTCAGGCAGGGCAGGTGGGTCCTCAAATCCACATTCCCGACGCTCCCCAGATGCCTGTGGAGAAGGGCTGGGGGGCTGGGTGGACAGAGGGAGCTGGGGGACTCCCGGGGTCCAGACGAGGGTGGTGATGGCCTGACCGGCCTAAGCCCGTGAAGTTTTGTCTTGCTTTCTCCAGCCCGTATTTCCAGCTCCTCCCTAGCCATCCAGGCAGGTTCTGAGTCTTTCTGTAATTGTGGCTCCACACCCTACTTCTTGACTTGGGCTGGGAGAGACGCCCCATTCTCCTCCGGGCTCAACCACACAAAACAGACATGTGTCCTTCCACCCCAAGTAGGAGCCCCTCCCTCTTCTTGGGCCACATTTTCAAGACAGTCGACAAACACGCTCACGATTTCTCACTGTAAAACCGCCACTGGCTTCCTGAGAATAGGACACAGAGCGCAGAAAGCCTGACGCTGGCATATGAAGAAACACACAGTCCCCTCACACCAGCTCATGGCGAGGCCAACACGGTGACCAGCGTCCGGGCCGTCCTCTCCCGCCACAGCAGCGGGAGGAGAGCGAAGGTTGAAGGAGCCGTCCGGATAGTTTTCGCAGCTAACTGGCACTATTCTGAAATGGAAAGTCAACTCATTTCAACACCGCTTAAGAGGAACGTTTGGAGTTATCTGACAGAGCAGGTTGGAGTTTCAGGCCTGAACTGGGCGTTTCCTCCCAGGACCACCATCTGCATGTGTGCATTCTTTCCAGAACTATCCCTCAACAAGGTGACTTTGCAGACTGCGTGTGCCCACGGACCTTTCTGCCTGGCCCTCCTTCCACCTGCTTCTGGATGCATTAAGCAAATCCTTTACCGTGACAAAGCATCACTTCCTCCGCCGTCAGAGATCGCCCCGGCCATCCTGGCTCCAGCCTCTCGGCACCCTGAGGATTGAGAGAAAATGTTCAATCTGTTTTGAAACCATACCCAGAGCAGAAAGAGAACCGAAGGCCCGGGGGCAATCAGTCACTCACGTGAAATGCGCCCCGTGCTTGCTTTTCTTCCAAGGATCCCACTTTGCAGAGAGCGTGTCACCTACGCGTTTTCAGATGGCGCCACGAGGCTTCACACAAGCGCTTGGCCTGCTCCAGCCTTCACCCATGGAAGGTCGGACAGAGACCACAAGAGGCGCCTCCACCAGGAAAAGCCACACTGTGATAGTGGTTAAGGGCATGGATTTGAGCTCAGCTGGACCCGCTCTCCCACGCACTCCAGCGGAATGACCCCAAGCGTGCCCTTACCCTTGCCAAGCCTCCATGGTCCGATCTGAAAAACGGGAGACGTGCAAGTGCCTACCTCACAGGATGGCCGTGAAGACCAAATCTGGTGAAATAATAGAAAATAGTCTTCAGCAACGCTGGCCATTTTATAAGAAAAGAATTTCCAGCCAAGAGGACAGCCCCGTGTCCTTGGTAAATACACACCGTGTTCCTTCTTTTCTTACGGAGTCCGTCCTGGGTCCTGTGCTCCGTGTTGCTCGTCATGAGCGGATTCACACTTGCCATTTGCATCTGAAGCTGGTGCATGGCAGGAGAGCGGGTTCGGGAACACTGGGGTGAGCCGCTGTTTCGGAGCACAGCAGGGAGCCCGTCCTGTCCTCCTTGGCCTGTCCTCCCTTCCTCCTGCTTTTCTAGGCTCCCGGGACTTCCAGGCTGAACCACTCAAACATCCTCGTGCGGCCCCCCGTGTGCTCTCGGCTCCAGGGCCCTCGGATGCACGGAACATTTAGAAATTTAAGCATGAGCTAGAAATAGAAATGGATGAAGACCCCCTGGTTGTCTGAACACCCAAGTTGCTCCATTTCTCATTAAAAAGAAAAAAAGTGTTCCAGGCAAGGTAAGCAAAACATGCATGCAGTGCAGAGCTCCTGGACCCCGCCACAGAGACAACCCTGACCTCCCGGGTGGCGAGAACACCCATGCGCGACAGTGCTCCTCTTCCTGTGGGTTAACGACGTTTCATGTATCCATAGCGATCCAGCTACGTTTCACAAGCTAGAGAAAAGCAGAAAGGAAGAACTCGCTGCAGGTGCACCCTCTTTATTGCCACGTCTGTCTACTGAGGAGTTAGTTCACGCTGAAACGCAGCGCCACAATGCTGTCTCCCCCCAGGTCTATCACATTTCCAGAAACTCGTGGTTCAAGATGGAGACACGGATGATCAAGAACGTGTGTGCCCCCGCGGTGGTGCTCGGGGAGCGCATCCTCATCGTGGGAGGTGAGTGGCCGAGGGTGGGGGCCGGACACCGGCCCTGGGAGACGGCCCACGGACCCCCGGATGCTGTCCTTCAAGACGGCCGCGTGTGTGTGTGCGTGTGTGTGTGTGTGTGTGCGTGTGTGTTGGGGGAGTCTCACTCTAGCCCAGGCCGGAGTGCAGTGGCACAATCACAGCTCACCACCACCTCGACCTCCTGGGCTCAGGCGATCCTTCCGCCTCAGCCTCCTGCAAGATGGTCTTTTTAAAAGCACATCCCCCCAAACAAGGGGGTGTGGGGAGTCTGACAGATCCCTTCATCCAGAGGTTTCTCCCACCTTTATGTGTAAACAAGGGATGAAATAACGCCTACTTCACAGAGCAGTTGTGATACAAAACCTGCTCATATATCTCGGGCACTTAGCACGCTCCCAGACATGGTAAATAATCACGTTTGCTGCTGTGAATAATGTTTTTTTGTTTTTTGTTTTTTTGAGTTGGAGTCTCACTCTGCCACCTAGACTGGAGTGAAGTGGCCACTCCCAGCCACCACAGCCTCGACCTGCTGGGCTCCGGCAAACCTTCCGCCTCAGCCTTCCAAGTAGCTGGAACTACAGGCACACACTTCCACGCCCGGCTAATTTTTGATTTTTATTGTAGAGATGAGGTCTCGCCAAGTTGCCCAGGCGGGTCTCGAACCCATGGGCTCAGGCAATCCACTCACCTCAGCCTTCCAAAGTGCTGGGATTACAGGCTGAGCCACCGAGCCCGGCCAACAATAATTATAACAATAATAACAATAATCATGTTAACAATAATGTTAGCGACCCCCATTTCCCTCTCCGAAAGCACAGTTAAGGGAACTGGTTTGAGAGTCAGGCAGACCTGGGTCCCAATCCTGGCTGCGTGCTCTTTAGCACGTTCAACATTTTCCTGAGCCTCGATTTGTCCACCAGTAACATGGGGGTCCTAAAAGTACCACGGATAGGGCTGCTGTGGCCACCCGTGTCTGAGCTTCCAGAGGCCCTCTCGGATCGCATCTCGTGGATGGCGTGTGGGAGAGGAAGACGCCGGTGAGGCCGGAGCGCTCCTGGAATCCAGAGGCCGCTCTCCACCCAAGAGTGGCGTCCACGCTGCCTTGAGTCGGGACGGAGGACGCAGGGTCCGGGTGAGGCAGGTCAGGCGCGGGCCCGGCTCTGCCACTCCCGGCCTGGCGGGTCCCTCAGCACCCCCGGCCCAGCGCACCCAGCCTCGGCGCCAGGCTGCCTCAGGGCCAGCACGTCCCGGGGCGCCACCGGTCCCAGCTACACCGCCGAGCTATGCGTGCCGTTGCTTCCAGGGTACACGAGGAGGGTGCTCGCCTATGACCCACGGGCCAACAAGTTCGCCAAGTGCGCAGACATGAAGGACCGCAGCATGCACCACGGGGCCGCCGTGCTGGGAGGCAAGCTCTACGTGACGGGTGGGCGGCGGCTGGCCCCCGACTGCAGCGTGGAGGACTCGGCCGCCTTCGACTGCTACGACCCCGAGACGGACTCCTGGACGGCCCAGGGCCAGCTGCCACACACGCTCTTCGACCACGCCTGCCTGACGCTCCGGGGCATACCCTACTCGCCCGCCCTCCCTTGAGCCTGCCGGGGCCCCTGACCCCGCCAGCATGGCCGCTGTGTCAAGGGACAGACCCTGCTCCAAAGGGCTGGGCCCTGAAGGACACAGGGGGCAGAGGAGGGGCCTGCAGAGGGGTGAGGTCAGGCGTCCCACTGCCAGAGCTCACACGCGCCTCCCATCTCTCTCTCTCTCCCTGTCTCTCTCCCTGTCTGTCTCTCTTTCTCTCCCATCTCTTTCCCTCCGTCCCTCTCTCTGTCTCTGTCTGTCACTTCACTCCCGCTGTCTCTGTCTCTCCCTCATCTCTGTCGATCTCATTCTAAGTTTCCTGATCTGCCCGTGCAGCGTGTGGCTAATGGCTGCTGACACCCAGACCCGCCCTCTCGCTGTGCACCTTTGAGAGAGAAGTTACAGCATCCATCCATTAAGCCCAAAGCAACGCGTGGCTCTTTTGGCTTCCACACCCCTCTCTTAAGCCCTTTCCTGTCACCAGGGTCGGTGCTGCCAGTCCTGGATCGGCCCCAGGCATGGGCGGGAGGGTGGAGCTGGCCATTGTGACTGACAGGCCATCTGAACCACGTGCTGTGGGTGAAGCCACTCCCCAAAGAGAGACATTCTGGGCTGGCCAAAGCCTCATCCTCCCAGGACACCCCTGAAATCCAGGCGAGAGGGCTGAGGGGCACAAGGGGCCTTGGGAGCTTGGGCCAGGCGGCAGCGTGAGAAACAGGCACGCCCACGGTTGAAATTCCCAGAAAGTGTGCGCCATTCAGTATCTCGTGTCTGTGAAATCACCCTGTACTGGCACAATAAAGCCCAGCCCCTGGGGAGCCATGAACCCACACAGTTCATTAGGATGTGCGTTCGGTGAATGCTCTAGGACTCGCTCTCCTGGGAAGCCACTTGACCCCGTCAGCGCCGACAACGCGGGCTGCCCCCGGGTACCGGGGCTGAGGACCTCTGCTCCCCCTGGGCTCCCATCCTAGCTCTGGAGTCGCTAAAGGGAGGACAGCGTCCTCAGTGTCACTTGCATGTCACAGCCACCTGGGAAGGTGCTGGACACGGTGAGCTCCATCCCAGGTAGACCTGGGGGACTCCCAGAGGTGGGTCCCGCACACCAGGGAAGCTTCCCAGATGATTGTCATGCGCAGTCAGTACGGAGCACCTCTTCCCCGCTCAGCTGTGGACACCAAAGTCCTTCACCCTGGCTCTGCTCCCACCCGTCCTGGCCAGCCCGGTCCCAGCCTGGTGGTGCCAGCAGGGTCCTCTCCGCCCCAGTGGAAGCATCTGGAAGAGTCTTGCTGCCTGAGCCTGCCCAGAGCGCCATCCATGCCGTAGCCTCCCGCCCCACCTGCTCCCCAGGGCCGTGGCCTGGACTTTTCCTTCCTTCCTAGTTTGTATTTTTTGCACAGGCTTCTCCTGCGGGGGTCTGAAGCCCTGCCCCGCTCCCGGCCACTTGGCTGTGTCCAGCAACCCTGCCTGGACAGTCAGCCTTGCTGGACACTGTCCCCTGGCTGCTGGCCAGCACCTGGCTCCAACCTGGCCTCCGAACCAACCGTCTCTGTTCAGGCTCTAACCCCACCCCTCCCTGAAACTACACCCAGTGCCCTGTGCCCCCTCACAGCCCAGACCAGCCACCCACGTTTGCTTCCTGCCCTGCATGGCCGGTCGGAGGCGCAGGACGTCACGGGTCCCTGCTCCGCCTTGACACGCCCTCCTCGCCCGCCTCCGGGATGCCCGACAACCTCCTGCACCTCCTCGGCTCCCTGGGCTGCAGCCTTGTCTCCTTGTTTCCTGCCTGACAAACCGAGTCCACCCCGGCTCAGACCTGAGATCTTTCTCATGCCGACTCTCACTTCTGAGCAGTCGCGCACCGCTGACTCGCCGGTTCCCTCGAATGCCAGACCCGTCTCCACTTCGAGGGTGGATCCCCGTCTCTGGCGCTGCATGCTCGAGACCACTGTCACCCGCCCATCCTACGTCCCCTTCGCCTCTGCTCTGGGTCTCAGGCCCCAGTCCGAGCCGGCCCTGGGCCTGTCTCCTCCTCTGACAGGGCACAGGGCCTACTCGGCGTCCCGCCGTCCATGCTCGGACATCCACGGTCCAGCTGCCATCCTCCCTGGGCCTCTACAGCAGTTTCATCATGGTCTGTGCTTCCACCTGGGCCTCTTGACCCTTTTTGCCACATGGAGGCCCAGGAGCTTCCAAAAGCACAAAGTGAAACATGCGTTCCCCTGTTAAAAACCCCCGAAGCCAGGCTCGTCCCACGCCTTTGGGAGGCTGAGGTGAATGGATTGCCTGAGCCTGAGGGTTCGAGACCCGCCTGGGCAACTTGGCCAGATCTCTACAATAAATCAAAAACTAACCAGGCGTGGTAGTGCGCGCCTGTGGTTCCAGCTACTTGGAAGGCTGAGGCGGAAGG